CCTGCTGAAGCAAGGTATTCATATCATGAAATACCCATCACAAAAAATAAAACCCAATCCAAACAGTGCCCAGACGTCTGAACACCCACATCACACCTCAGTTCTTATTCCAAAACTCCTTTAGAGGAGAAAGGCTGGAACTATTTAAATGACCCAGAGGAGTTTAGATTTAGCTCACTGCTTTCCAGTATCTTATACCTCATCTCAGAATGAAATCAGCCATAAGAGCAGGGAAGACTGCCTCTGCTGTATTTTAGCACCTTACATGCCATCACAAAGGCACTTTACATCATCTCCTGATGTATCGATGAGGAATACCATGCAGAGTAATGCCACACGTGGCAGTTACTATGACTTACCTGAGAGATCAGGGGGATGATAGTCTTCCCAGCATGGCCACCAATAACTGGAACACTTACTCGAGCTGGGTCTAAGCCCTAAGGGAAATATTAAACATTCCAGCTTCTGAAGCACACAGACAAGAAAAACATTTAAAAACACTATGCTTCATTTTCTGCCCTGAGTATTTGGACACATCCATAACCCAGTGCTACATGGGGCAGGAGTTTCAGAGGCAGCTACACTCCAGGGGCAAAGCCAGACCTACAGAGCTGAACTCCAGGTTACTCCAGTAACTTCAGCCAGTTACAGGATATTATTAAAGCAAGTTCAGATAAATAGCAGCACAAGTACAAACTCCACCAGGGCTATTAAGAGCAGTAACCTGTTACACCTCCCGATACTTTGCAGAATATCCTGTAACATGCAGCGCAGATAGTTTGACTTGCAAACACATACTACAATTCAACCCTCTCCTCTGGTTGCACCAGCAGGGTTGAAAATGCCAACAGAATTAAGGCAAACGTGTAGCTCACTCACAGGGGACAGCTATGAAAAGGAAAGGTCAAAGTCTCTTGAACCACATTTTGCAAGAAACCCTACCCCTGGGCTCCTCTAGAGAACGGGAACAGGGAATCACCGCCTCTGCCTCTAGCTCCACAGAAATCTGAGCTCCTTTGGCTCTCTGCAGTGATTTTAAAAGCATTTTTGATAGATCTGATGACCAAAGCAGGCAATATCCTTGCCCCAGCATCTATTACTATGACCTACCTTTAGTTCAGCCACAAAAGTATTTGCTCTGACAATGTCCAGCGTTGTAACACCAAAGATTCTGTTGGGATTATACACACCGTGCTTCTTGAAGACTTCTGAAGTGATTGGGATAGTTGAATTTACCTATAAGCAACAACAGGCAAGCATTCATTAAAACCAGCATAATAATGAAGCCAATGCATGAACTGAACAGGCCAGTAAACAACCTCAAGTATACTTCCAACTTGAAATCAACTGTAGCCAATTACTTTAATTCCTAAATTGAAGAGCAATTTACAGTCACGCTGGAATAAAAATCACCCATTTGAAATAACCATTAAGACAATAAATTGGTTCATTCACATTACAAAGGCTCCTCCCTTGTTAGCTAAGACTTCTATTCCAGTTAATACTGGAATACGTGTATTACAACCATAGTCATAGAGATGTTGAGATATTAAGCACTTTTATATCAAAGCTCCCTCCGACTTAAATATAGCCCAAGAAAAATGGATTAGTAGAACCAGGCTTTTCATTCTTTCCTGCAAATACCCTGAAGACCTTAAAGATACTGGTCAAAACCAATAGGAGCTCAGATTACTCTAGTATTCTCAGTCTGGATTTTTTTTTTTCCTAAACATTTTCAAGGTCTCCAGAAAATGCTTACCGGGTTAGAAATAATGCAGATCATGGCTTCTGGACAGTGCTTTGCACAGGCAGTGGTCAAAGTAGCAACAATGCTAGCATTGGTGTTGAACAGGTCATCACGGGTCATACCTAAAACGCATCCAGTACAGTATTTTATCATCATCAACACATACATATATCTTAAGGGCGGAAGTCAAGGGGACGGAAGCAGTCTGTTTGCAGTGGTGTCCAGCGACAGGACTAGGGGCAATGGATGCAAACTGAAACACGAGAGGTTTCAGTTGAATATGAGGAAGAACTTCTTCACTCTGAGGGTGGCAGAGCACTGGAACAGGCTGCCCAGGGAGGTTGTGGAGTCTCCTTCTCTGGAGATATTCAAAGCCCGCCTGGATGAAGTCCTGTGTAGCATGCTCTAGGTGAGCCTGCTTTAGCAGGGGGGTTGGACTAGATGATCTCCTGAGGTCCCTTCCAACCCTTACGATTCTGTGATTCTGTGATTTTAAGTTACCCATAGTCTACTCATTAATGGGCAAGCAACCCAATCAAAAAACAATATTCTGCTCTGGACAGAGATACGTCAGCTTCTGGTTTCATTAGATCAAGAGAAAACTCTCCAGCTGCAGTAATGAACTAGCTCCAAAGGTAACTCCTCTCGCTAATAAAAGATTGCTGCACTTTCAAATAGATCAACCCTTGTCAGGAGCAACCAGCCCAGCTGTCAATTGTCTGAACATGTTTCACCTAGGCAGCTTGAAAAGTATGGTGTGACCATAACGACCCACACCCGTGTGTCAGTGGTGCTCAGAGCAGCGTAACCATTCCTGAAATGAATTCTCCTCCCGCTCTGCAGTCACCTCCACAGCTACAGTTTGAAGGCCAACTGCTCTGTGCAAAATATCACTAGCTGCGTTAAGTGCCACCTCTCATTTCTGTTGCAGCAACTACTTTAACCTTGAAAAATGAAGAATTGGGAAGCACTAGGCATTAAAGTCCAGAATTTTGTTACATTCCCAATAGGATACTGAAAAACAGAGCAGAAACGGAGCAGGCCAGAGACATTCTAGGAAGGCTTAACAGCATTCATTCAGAGATACCCAGAGAAGTTATCATATAATTAATGCAAAACAAATGGATTATTTCTATTCTGCTGAGAAATTAAACATAGAACCTTTTTTTTTTTTACTGGAGCATTGCTCTGGGCAGGAAACATTAAGGGAGATTCAGGATCGCTTGCATGAAAAGTCTTTGCACCTCACCCCTACATGGGAACTCCAGAGATCAGTTCTGCCCATTTTACAAGGGACAATTTAAGGCAGAGGCTAAATGAGTTGCCCGATACCACAACAACCTCTAGGTCAGTGTCATTAACAGACCGCTTACATCCCAAGCCAAGACTACCATAAAGCACCAGACACAGCTCTATTTGAATAACAGGACCGCAGAGATACACTTCAATGAAGCCCCAGGGCTTTTTAACAAAGCGAACATACCAGGTTTTCTAGGGACTCCCGCAGGAATAACTACAACATTACAGCCCTTCAGACATTCTGGCAACTGCTCAGGTCCCAGGAAGCCTGAAATGGAAGATATTCAGACATTATGTTTTTGCCAGTTATTAAATATCTTGACACTCTGAAGTACAAAATTACATGCCCAGAGGCACACAATTCCTTTTTTAATTTAGCCTTCAATTCAGACTTATGCTGAAAAGCAAAGAAATACAATTATGGATGGATCCTATTTGATGTTTTATCCTTGTTTCAAAGCTTACAGAAGGAAAGTGGTGGGAACCTCACATTCATCTGTTTTGAAAACCCATACTTCCTTCCGCTATGTGTATTTACTCTCCAAAAAACCCTAGCTTGGCACTACAGTCAGTGCCCCCAAAGAACTGCAGATAGGCACATTCAAGTAAAATGTAACCTCTTGGTGATGTTTAGAAAAAATGAAGATCAGCAGATTAAGTTTTGATTTCATCACAACTTGACAGCTGTCCCTTCACAAAAGCAGCACGCAGAATTCATGTGGGCACCTAGGGAATGTTAATTCTATTTGCAGTCAAACTTAAATTCAGTGGTCAGGCATTTTACCAAGACGATTTTACTGAATGTTTCCTGCCAGTTATTAGGAACTCCCCTTCAACAGTGCAACCACAGACTGTTCTCACAACCATACATATCAATCTAATCAGGTAAACCTTAACTAGCCATGCACTTCTTGAGAATAAGCTACTTAAATTGATATTAGGCTTCACGATCATGTGAAGATTCCCCTTCACAAGCACAGCAATGGGCACCTCCAAGCGGCAGAGACACCCAAGGACCCCTTCAGAGCACAGATTGTCTCCAGCAGCTCGCAGTACCTTTAACATTCGATCTTGTCTCGATGTGGCTGAGGTCAGCTGCAACGCCTGGAGTGTGAGCAATATCATAGAGGCTGAGCCTGCTCACCAGCGGGCTGTTCTTCAGGAGAAGGGAGAGAGGCTGGCCAATGCCTCCTGAGGCCCCCAGCACTGCTACCTTGGCATTGTTCTGAGGAAAAAAGAAGACAAGCACACTGAAGAGATGTTTTGGTAGTTCCTGCAGCAGTGACCTTGGGGATTTCACCACGCTTTCTTTACTTTTAGTCCTATTTCTCAATTTTTTTATCAAGCACTATGCAAACTTGATTGCCTAAGCCCATAGTAAGCGATCATCACAACAGCCTCCCAAAGATCCTTGAGGTTTATTGGTAGGACAAGTTAGAGGAAAAAGTTCTTTTGCAATCTGAAGCTCAAAAGGGAAGCAAAGCTGGGCAAAGAAACCAAAAGGATCATCTTTATTCAGATGGAAACATCTCCCTCAGGCTAATGCCTGCTACCCTGTGAACCTAGGTCTGACTTAGGGTGAAACCTATTGTGCAGTTTTTCTAGTTTTCCTTGTCGTATCAAAAAATATGCCTTTTCACTTGGCAAATCAATACATTTAATGGACTACAGTAAATGTAATAAACATTGTACCTATATGAAGCAAATGTATATGTCTGAAATTCAAAATAGCACCTGCAAGCTGCCTCAAGGTTGAGGCCTGAGAACATTAAGTGACTGTAATTTCCAGCTCTCATCACGTGTGGCTGAGAATCAAGTAAAATCAACTCTGCTTTGTTGCCCTGGTGAACAAATTTTACTCTAACATGTTCCCTGGAAGAAAGTTATTTCTCTCAAAAATGCCTGTGCTCCTGTTTGTAGAGAAAGTGTTGCTAGATGAGAGGAAAGCTACTTTAAAAGACCAGAAGAATCTTAAAATGTAATGGTCCACCAAAGCAACGGAGAACCAGAGGCTGCTGCAGAGATGTAACGTGTTAATACAGCTATCACCGATCAGGACGTTCACTATCACACTGTCTTACCAGATAAAGTCATAAGAGCTCCAAGTCCCCACATGAACAACTTAATTATTATGCCACGACAAGAAATAATCTACCCAGAAGCTCGAGCAGCCTAATCTCAGCTCAGTTTTTTTGCTACTGCAACAAATGTAATTTAACATAAAACTCTCCAAGGAGAAGCAAAGTCTAGCATTAGTCACTGCTATGCCCCATATTTATGACTAAACCGATACCATGAATCAAAACCTCACTACTGATAAATAGAATTCCTATCAAAATAATTACACAACCCCCTCTTGTAAAGCGTATCTTTATAGCTACAATAATCATTCTGTCGTATGCCACTGGGAACTATTTACTTTAGAAGAGAGAGAACGGTCTCCATCTACCTACCCCAAAGCAGCAGGCCCCTCCTGGTATCAAGAGCCCTGCACAACGGATTCCAGCATATTAAGGATTATTGTTAACCCCCCCACACACCCCGCCAGCTTTAATCCCTAACACGTTTTGAGAGCCAGGGCGCATTTTCAGGAGAGGAAGGAAGCAGCCAGCAGGCTTGTGTATCAGCCCTTACACACCACCAGAAGGAGAAGTTCACCTAGAACGAATAGATTTGGCCACCGGGTTTACACCCGCGGGGAGGAAGGCGTCAGCTCCTCGGCTGAGGGACGCCCGGCAGCGCGGGGGCTGCACCGGGCAGAGGCTCAGCGCCAACCCCAGCACCCCCAGAGCCGGCCCCCCTGCTCAGCTCCCTCACGGCTCTCCCGCT